CGTCATCCGCCACGGCCCGATCGCGGAGGATTCCCGAACCACTCCCCTCCCAGACCTCCCCTGATACGTATAAGGTCCGTCCTGGCTAGGGAACGCCGTCCATCCCGCGACTCTTCGAGTCTAAGCGCGCTTCCTGTCGTCCGGCGGCATCCCCCAATGGGGCCTCCGAACGTATTGTTGCATTGGCCTCCGTGTAGCTGCTGTGCTGTAAGAGATTGTAGTAGCCATAAATGACCCCATCTGTAAGCCCCCTCACTGGCGCCCAGAAGCCCCCCGAAACCACGGTCTTGAGGTCTCCTTTCATTTATTGCCCCCCGCGATCCCGCGTAGATTGCGTTGGATCCGCGCTCCCAGAGCCACGACCTCTCGCAAATCACCCTGAGTCCGCTCTCCCAAGGCTGCGGTCCTCAGTCAAGTACACTAGCCCCGTACTCCCAGGACCACGATCACCCGAACATTACGCTGGGTCCAGCCGTGGCAACGAGGGCCAGTCCCAATGATGCCCAAAGAGGCAAAAGCGAGGAGAAGACCTCGGTATCGGCAGGCTTTCCACCTCTGACGTTATATGCTCGAAGATGATGTAGTTTCTTCAACGGGCAAGGTGGCACTCTGGCTGATCCGCAGGCATCTGGTGTGGGCATCCGAAATCTGCGCTCGATGTGGCAGGCGGACCCTGGCACTCGCTGCAGCTGCGACCACGTGCCGTAGCAGCAAATCCGGTGCGGAACTCTGTAAGTCCGTCACCGAATTCTTCAGATGCGCGAGGGACGGGTACCACGACATCGCGGATCGGCCGCCCCCATGGAAGCCAGCGGCCCGCGCCTTTGCGAGGGCCGCTGCAACTGGGGTTGGCCTCGGCCGAAGTCTACGCCTGATATGGCCCGTGACCAACCGCACGCCGCAGTCTGAGTCCCTCGCGGACCTGAAAAATGTCAAGCCTCCATCTTTCACGGAGACGGACGGCGTCGCAAGATGCCTCGGCCGCAGCCCAGGCCTTTGCGAGGGCTCCCTGCCGCTGCACCAAAGCAGGGGTGGCTTGAATGGAATTCACTGCGGGGCACGGATCCTCGACCACCACAGCGCACATGATGGGGGACAGGAGCCAAGCGGAGGCAGGGAAAGCAAAGCTGTTGGTAAAAGCCGACGGGGGGCTAGTGAGCAAAAGGTCGATCTTGGAGGGTTGGTGGAAGACAGTCGCTACAAGCGTGCCGTCAGAGCTTAGTGGGCTGCAAGATCCCGCGCCGCAGCGATGCTTCGCGGATCGCCGTCCAGGAAACTGCCTCTCTACGGGGCCCGTGACCAACCGCACGCCGCAGGAGTCCCTCGCGGACCTCAAGCACGCGCGTCAAGATGCCTCGGCCGCAGCCCAGGCCTTTGCGAATGGCTTGAATGGAATTCGCTCCTCGTGATGTCCGTAGTGAGTCGAGATCCAGGCCCGCTGCTTGGAAGCCTGGAAGACAGTCTGCTACAAGCGTGCGAGCTTAGCGATGGGCTGCTCCGGAACGCAGGATGGTGGTGTCCGTCAGGCGGCGCTCGTCGGCCACTCGTCCACTGCCGCCCCAGCCGCGTTGCCCACGAACAGGAACGCGAGGAGCGCCAGGAGCATGGTGCCAAGGGCGCCACTGCGAGCTGCGGCGCTCGTCGTGTCGTCGCCCATGGTGGTGTCCGTCAGGCGGCGCTCGTCGGCCATCGTGGTGGACTCGTCCAGCGCCGCACCCGCCGCGCTGCCCACGTAGAGGAAGGCGAGGAGCGCCAGGAGCACGGTGCCTGGGCTTCCAGTGCGAGGCGCGGCGCTCGTCGTGTCGTCGCCCATGGTGGTGTCCGTCAGGCGGCGCTCCTCGGCCCGGGTGGGAGGGGGGAGCAGAGAGCAGGGAGGAACGCTACCGGGACCCGCGCCCAGGAAACGAAGTAATCCTAGACAATCCCTGCAGAACCTGCACCAGGAGTTCAACCCCTCTCTTCGAAAGACAACGTCGCAGCTCCCAGGAGGCCAGCCAAGCAAGCTAGCGATGAGCTGACAGAAGGCCATCGGAGAGCAGCGGACTGCTATTGGGCTACGAGGGCTGTCGAGCGAGCCTCAGCCGAACTGCGAGCACGCTGCGAGCAGGCCGCAACCCAGGCCGATCGGTGCGCCATGGAGGAAGGTGTTTCCGAGAAGGGATCGGCGCCTTCTTAGAGGCTTCTTCGAAGACTTCTTATGGTGAAGGAGAGCAGCTCAGAGGAAGGGTGATGGCGACAACTGCATGGTAAACGCCAGAGATCTAGAAACGAGGCCGCGGCGGGGCCAGCTCGCAGAGAAGACACCGGCAGCACGCGGGCGCGGCCAGCGCAACACCCCGACGCCCCAGCGATCTTCCCCCCCTTGTTCCGCGACCCTCGAACAAATTTGCATTCACGTCAACAGAACCAGGCTGGATGCTAAGGACGATAAGATCAAGCCGGACCGAATATCTGTCCATCCCTACACCTACGGCATTCCGCAATGGTCCTCCATGGTCGTGGTCTGCTCATCGGCGACGCAGCCATGGCTGGAGAGCAGGAGGGCGAACACGGCGAGCACCACGCGGTTCATCGCGGCAAGGGGCGGAGCAGCAGAGACCGAGGGTGCGTAGACGAAGCCTGCTATGCCAGAGGCCTGAGGACAAGCAGTAGCAGCAGAACGACGTCGCGGTCGCGGTCGCAGTCGCGAGCGACATCGGCACATTCCACATTCCCCATCCAAGACCTCCGCAGTTGCACACGAAGGACCACTCTGGCACATTGAGGCGTTGTAGAATACCGAGTGCTGCCTGGCTGGGCTTCTGTAAGTCTGCGAATAGCCTCCTCTTATCTCACAAAGCTCTGCGTGCACCGTCCCCCTCCCGAGGACTCCCGGGCGCCCCAACGCCTTCTTGGAACTCTCCGAGCGAGTCTCTGCGCGGCTTCCACGACAGCCAGGGAGGGTCACCAAGGCCGCCAAGATGGCCCAGCCTTGCCTCAAGAGGCACCCAACAGCTCCCAGGAAGTGCCGAATAGACCCCAAGAGGCTTCCGAGAGGCACACAAACCAATCCAAGCATGTTGGTCGAAGATCCAAGAGGGCCCCTAGTCGGCCCAGGGAGCCCCAAGCTGACCCAAGAGAGCCTCTGGAGGTACCCATGACGGCCTGAGAAAGACACTAGACGGCCACAAAGGCCCCAGGACAGGTCCACGACGGCCCCAAGAGAGCCCTCAGACGGCCAAGGGAGCCCCAAGACCCCAAGACGACTCAATAGGTCCCCCAAGACGGCCCAAGAGAGCCGCAAGGGACACCCGAGACTGCCCAACGGGAGCACAAGCCAACTGATGGCCTCCCAAGGCCACGGTGAAATCCGTGGGTGGCGGATGCCAGCGGCCTTATCTCGGCCCTCGTGGCGAGAGGAGCAGCATCGCCGTGGGGCGGGGCAGTCGAGGAGGACCGCTGAGCAACTCTGATGGCACGGTTGAATGCCATCGTCGGGCTTTGGGCGACTCGGCCTCCTCTGGCCATGCGCCACCGAGCTCCGACAGGTGCTATTCGGAGCACAAGAGAGCCACAAGGCGGCCCAATTCGTCCCTATGAGAGCTCATCAAGAGGAGCCGAGGGGCATCACATGTAATGGCGTTCGCCACACAGAGTGCTTCGCTGGCACGGTGTGGAGTCGCCGCAGACACCTATATCACCACGTCCCTCCAAATCGGAGATCAACGTCCATCGCGCAACACCTCGAGTATAAGCACATTTCCCGTCATCCGCCACGGCCCGATCGCGGAGGATTCCCGAACCACTCCCCTCCCAGACCTCCCCTGATACGTATAAGGTCCATCCTGGCTAGAGAGCGCCGTCCATCCCGCGACTCTTCGAGTCTAAGCGCGCTTCCTGTCGTCCGGCGGCATCCCCCAATGGGGCCTCCAAACGTATTGTTGCATTGGCCTCCGTGTAGCTGCTGTGCTGGAAGAGATTGTAGTAGCCATAAATGACCCCCATCTGTAAGCCCCCTCACTGGCGCCCAGAAGCCTCCCAAAACCACGGTCTTGAGGGCTCCTTTCGATTATTGCCCCCCGCGATCCCGCGTAGATTGCGTTGGATCCACGCTCCCAGAGCCACGACCTCTCGCAAATCACCCTGAGTCCGCTCTCCCAAGGCTGCGGTCCTCAGTCAAGTACACTAGCCCCGTACTCCCAGGACCACGATCACCCGAACATTACGCTGGGTCCAGCCGTGGCAACGAGGGCCAGTCCCAATGATGCCCAAAGAGGCAAAAGCGAGGAGAAGACCTCGGTATCGGCAGGCTTTCCACCTCTGACGTTATATGCTCGAAGATGATGTAGTTTCTTCAACGGGCAAGGTGGCACTCTGGCTGATCCGCAGGCATCTGGTGTGGGCATCCGAAATCTGCGCTCGATGTGGCAGGCGGACCCTGGCACTCGCTGCAGCTGCGACCACGTGCCGTAGCAGCAAATCCGGTACGGAACTCTGTAAGTCCGTCACCGAATTCTTCAGATGCGCGAGGGACGGGTACCACAACATCGCGGATCGGCCGCCCCCATGGAAGCCAGCGGCCCGCGCCTTTGCGAGGGCCGCTGCAACTGGGGTTGGCCTCGGCCGAAGTCTACGCCTGATATGGCCCGTGACCAACCGCACGCCGCAGTCTGAGTCCCTCGCGGACCTGAAAAATGTCAAGCCTCCATCTTTCACGGAACGGGCGACGTGGCAAGATGCCTCGGCCGCAGCCCAGGCCTTTGCGAGGGCTCCCTGCCGCTGCACCAAAGCAGGGGTGGCTTGAATGGAATTCACTGCGGGGCACGGATCCTCGACCACCACAGCGCAGAGAGGGCATGATGGGGGACAGGAGCCGAGCGGAGGCAGGGAAAGCAAAGCTGTTGGTAAAAGCCGACGGGGGGCTAGTGAGGGCGAAGGCGGCGGTCGAGATCCAGGCCCGCTGGGAGGGAAGGCTTGGAAGCCTGGAAGACAGTCTGCTACAAGCGTGCCCCTTTCAGAGCTTAGCGATGGGCTGCAAGACCGAGCGCCGCAGCAAGGGCGAACAGCGGCGCCGTCCGGAACGCCGCGCGGGGGGCCGCGGGGCTCGTCGTGTCGTCGCCCATGGTGGTGTCCGTCAGGCGGCGCTCGTCGGCCATTGTGGTGGACTCGTCCACTGCCGCCCCAGCCGCGTTGCCCACGAACAGGAACGCGAGGAGCGCCAGGAGCATGGTGCCAAGGGCGCCACTGCGAGCTGCGGCGCTCGTCGTGTCGTCGCCCATGGTGGTGTCCGTCAGGCGGCGCTCGTCGGCCATCGTGGTGGACTCGTCCAGCGCCGCACCCGCCGCGCTGCCCACGTAGAGGAAGGCGAGGAGCGCCAGGAGCACGGTGCCTGGGCTTCCAGTGCGAGGCGCGGCGCTCGTCGTGTCGTCGCCCATGGTGGTGTCCGTCAGGCGGCGCTCCTCGGCCCGGGTGGGAGGGGGGAGCAGAGAGCAGGGAGGAACGCTACCGGGACCCGCGCCCAGGAAACGAAGTAATCCTAGACAATCCCTGCAGAACCTGCACCAGGAGTTCAACCCCTCTCTTCGAAAGACAACGTCGCAGCTCCCAGGAGGCCAGCCAAGCAAGCTAGCAATGAGCTGACAGAAGGCCATCGGAGAGCAGCGGACTGCTATTGGGCTACGAGGGCTGTCGAGCGAGCCTCAGACGAACTGCGAGCACTCTGCGAGCAGGCCGCAACCCAGGCCGATCGGTGCGCCATGGAGGAAGGTGTCTCCGAGAAGGGATCGGCGCCTTCTTAGAGGCTTCTTCGAAAACTTCTTATGGTGAAGGAGAGCAGCTCAGAGGAAGGGTGATGGCGACAACTGCATGGTGAAACGCCAGAGATCTAGAAGCGAGGCCGCGGCGGGGCCAGCTCGCAGAGAAGACACCGGCAGCACGCGGGCGCGGCCAGCGCAACACCCCGACGCCCCAGCGATCTTCCCCCCTTGTTCCGCGACCCTCGAACAAATTTGCATTCACGTCAACAGAACCAGGCTGGATGCTAAGGACGATAAGATCAAGCCGGACCGAATATCTGTCCATCCCTACACCTACGGCATTCCGCAATGGTCCTCCATGGTCGTGGTCTGCTCATCGGCGACGCAGCCATGGCTGGAGAGCAGGAGGGCGAACACGGCGAGCACCACGCGGTTCATCGCGGCAAGGGGCGGAGCAGCAGAGACCGAGGGTGCGTAGACGAAGCCTGCTATGCCAGAGGCCTGAGGACAAGCAGTAGCAGCAGAACGACGTCGCGGTCGCGGTCGCAGTCGCGAGCGACATCGGCACATTCCACATTCCCCATCCAAGACCTCCGCAGTTGCACACGAAGGACCACTCTGGCACATTGAGGCGTTGTAGAATACCGAGTGCTGCCTGGCTGGGCTTCTGTAAGTCTGCGAATAGCCTCCTCTTATCTCACAAAGCTCTGCGTGCACCGTCCCCCTCCCGAGGACTCCCGGGCGCCCCAACGCCTTCTTGGAACTTTCCGAGCGAGTCTCTGCGCGGCTTCCACGACAGCCAGGGAGGGTCACCAAGGCCGCCAAGATGGCCCAGCCTTGCCTTCAAGAGGCACCCAACAGCTCCCAGGAAGTGCCGAATAGACCCCAAGAGGCTTCCGAGAGGCACACAAACCAATCCAAGCATGTTGGTCGAAGATCCAAGAGGGCCCCTAGTCGGCCCAGGGAGCCCCAAGCTGACCCAAGAGAGCCTCTGGAGGTACCCATGACGGCCTGAGAAAGACACTAGACGGCCACAAAGGCCCCAGGACAGGTCCACGACGGCCCCAAGAGAGCCCTCAGACGGCCAAGGGAGCCCCAAGACCCCAAGACGACTCAATAGGTCCCCCAAGACGGCCCAAGAGAGCCGCAAGGGACACCCGAGACTGCCCAACGGGAGCACAAGCCAACTGATGGCCTCCCAAGACCACGGTGAAATCCGTGGGTGGCGGATGCCAGCGGCCTTGTCTCGGCCCTCGTGGCGAGAGGAGCAGCATCGCCGTGGGGCGGGGCAGTCGAGAGGACCGCTGAGCAACTCTGATGGCACGGTTGAATGCAATCGTCGGGCTATTGGGCGACTCGGCCTCCTCTGGCCATGCGCCACCGAGCTCCGACAGGTGCTATTCGGAGCGCAAGAGAGCCACAAGGCGGCCCAATTCGTCCCTATGAGAGCTCATCAAGAGGAGCCGAGGGGCATCACATGTAATGGCGTTCGCCACACAGAGTGCTTCGCTGGCACGGTGTGGAGTCGCCGCAGACAGCCAGATCACCACGTCCCTCCAAGTCGGAGATCAACGTCCATCGCGCAACACCTCGAGTATAAGCACATTTCCCGTCATCCGCCACGGCCCGATCGCGGAGGATTCCCGAACCACTCCCCTCCCAGACCTCCCCTGATACGTATAAGGTCCATCCTGGCTAGAGAGCGCCGTCCATCCCGCGACTCTTCGAGTCTAAGCGCGCTTCCTGTCGTCCGGCGGCATCCCCCAACGGGGCCTCCAAACGTATTGTTGCATTGGCCTCCGTGTAGCTGCTGTGCTGTGAAGAGATTGTAGTAGCCATAAATGACCCCCATCTGTAAGCCCCCTCACTGGCGCCCAGAAGCCCCCCGAAACCACGGTCTTGAGGGCTCCTTTCATTTATTGCCCCCCGCGATCCCGCGTAGATTGCGTTGGATCCACGCTCCCAGAGCCACGACCTCTCGCAAATCACCCTGAGTCCGCTCTCCCAAGGCTGCGGTCCTCAGTCAAGTACACTAGCCCCGTACTCCCAGGACCACGATCACCCGAACATTACGCTGGGTCCAGCCGTGGCAACGAGGGCCAGTCCCAATGATGCCCAAAGAGGCAAAAGCGAGGAGAAGACCTCGGTATCGGCAGGCTTTCCACCTCTGACGTTATATGCTCGAAGTTGATGTAGTTTCTTCAACGGGCAAGGTGGCACTCTGGCTGATCCGCAGGCATCTGGTGTGGGCATCCGAAATCTGCGCTCGATGTGGCAGGCGGACCCTGGCACTCGCTGCAATTGCGACCACGTGCCGTAGCAGCAAATCCGGTACGGAACTCTGTAAGTCCGTCACCGAATTCTTCAGATGCGCGAGGGACGGGTACCACGACATCGCGGATCGGCCGCCCCCATGGAAGCCAGCGGCCCGCGCCTTTGCGAGGGCCGCTGCAACTGGGGTTGGCCTCGGCCGAAGTCTACGCCTGATATGGCCCGTGACCAACCGCACGCCGCAGTCTGAGTCCCTCGCGGACCTGAAAAATGTCAAGCCTCCATCTTTCACGGAGACGGGCGGCGTCGCAAGATGCCTCGGCCGCAGCCCAGGCCTTTGCGAGGGCTCCCTGCCGCTGCACCAAAGCAGGGGTGGCTTGAATGGAATTCACTGCGGGGCACGGATCCTCGACCACCACAGCGCAGAGAGGGCATGATGGGGGACAGGAGCCGAGCGGAGGCAGGGAAAGCAAAGCTGTTGGTAAAAGCCGACGGGGGGCTAGTGAGGGCGAAGGCGGCGGTCGAGATCCAGGCCCGCTGGGAGGGAAGGCTTGGAAGCCTGGAAGACAGTCTGCTACAAGCGTGCCCCTTTCAGAGCTTAGCGATGGGCTGCAAGACCGAGCGCCGCAGCAAGGGCGAACAGCGGCGCCGTCCGGAACGCCGCGCGGGGGGCCGCGGGGCTCGTCGTGTCGTCGCCCATGGTGGTGTCCGTCAGGCGGCGCTCGTCGGCCATTGTGGTGGACTCGTCCACTGCCGCCCCAGCCGCGTTGCCCACGAACAGGAACGCGAGGAGCGCCAGGAGCATGGTGCCAAGGGCGCCACTGCGAGCTGCGGCGCTCGTCGTGTCGTCGCCCATGGTGGTGTCCGTCAGGCGGCGCTCGTCGGCCATCGTGGTGGACTCGTCCAGCGCCGCACCCGCCGCGCTGCCCACGTAGAGGAAGGCGAGGAGCGCCAGGAGCACGGTGCCTGGGCTTCCAGTGCGAGGCGCGGCGCTCGTCGTGTCGTCGCCCATGGTGGTGTCCGTCAGGCGGCGCTCCTCGGCCCGGGTGGGAGGGGGGAGCAGAGAGCAGGGAGGAACGCTACCGGGACCCGCGCCCAGGAAACGAAGTAATCCTAGACAATCCCTGCAGAACCTGCACCAGGAGTTCAACCCCTCTCTTCGAAAGACAACGTCGCAGCTCCCAGGAGGCCAGCTAAGCAAGCTAGCAATGAGCTGACAGAAGGCCATCGGAGAGCAGCGGACTGCTATTGGGCTACGAGGGGTGTCGAGCGAGCCTCAGACGAACTGCAAGCACTCTGCGAGCAGGCCGCAACCCAGGCCGATCGGTGCGCCATGGAGGAAGGTGTTTCCGAGAAGGGATCGGCGCCTTCTTAGAGGCTTCTTCGAAAACTTCTTATGGTGAATGAGAGCAGCTCAGAGGAAGGGTGATGGCGACAACTGCATGGTGAAACGCCAGAGATCTAGAAGCGAGGCCGCGGCGGGGCCAGCTCGCAGAGAAGACACCGGCAGCACGCGGGCGCGGCCAGCGCAACACCCTGACGCCCCAGCGATCTTCCCCCCTTGTTCCGCAACCCTCGAACAAATTTGCATTCACGTCAACAGAACCAGGCTGGATGCTAAGGACGATAAGATCAAGCGGGATCGAATCTCTGTCCATCCCAACACCTACGGCATTCCGCAATGGTCCTCCATGGTCGTGGTCTGCTCATCGGCGACGCAGCCATGGCTGGAGAGCAGGAGGGCGAACACGGCGAGCACCACGCGGTTCATCGTGGCAAGGGGCGGAGCAGCAGAGACCGAGGGTGCGCAGACGAAGCCTGGTATGCCAGAGGCCTGAGGACAAGCAGTAGCAGCAGAACGACGTCGCGGTCGCGGTCGCAGTCGCGAGCGACATCGGCACATTCCACATTCCCCAGTTGCACACGAAGGACCACTCTGGCACATTGAGGCGTTGTAGAATACCGAGTGCTGCCTGGCTGGGCTTCTGTAAGTCTGCGAATAGCCTCCTCTTATCTCACAGAGCTCTGCGTGCACCGTCCCCCAACCGAGGACTCCCGGGCGCCCCGACGCATTCCTGGAACTCTCCGAGCGAGTCTCTGCGCGGCTTCCACGACGGCCAGGGAGGGTCACCAAGGCCGCCAAGATGGCCCAGCCTTGCCTCAAGAGGCACCCAACAGCTCCCAGGAAGTGCCGAATAGACCCCAAGAGGCTTCCGAGAGGCACACAAACCAATCCAAGCATGTTGGTCGAAGATCCAAGAGGGCCCCTAGTCGGCCCAGGGAGCCCCAAGCTGACCCAAGAGAGCCTCTGGAGGTACCCATGACGGCCTGAGAAAGACCCTAGACGGCCACAAAGGCCGCAGGACAGGTCCACGACGGCCCCAAGAGAGCCCTCAGACGGCCAAGGGAGCCCCAAGACCCCAAGACGACTCAATAGGTCCCCCAAGACGGCCCAAGAGAGCCGCAAGGGACCCCCGAGACTGCCCAACGGGAGCACAAGCCAACTGATGGCCTCCCAAGACCACGGTTAAATCCGTGGGTGGCGGATGCCAGCGGCCTTATCTCGGCCCTCGTGGCGAGAGGAGCAGCATCGCCGTGGGGCGGGGCAGTCGAGAGGACCGCTGAGCAACTCTGATGGCACGGTTGAATGCCATCGTCGGGCTATTGGGCGACTCGGCCTCCTCTGGCCATGCGCCACCGAGCTCCGACAGGTGCTATTCGGAGCACAAGAGAGCCACAAGGCGGCCCAATTCGTCCCTATGAGAGCTCATCAAGAGGAGCCGAGGGGCATCACATGTAATGGCGTTTGCGACACAGAGTGCTTCGCTGCCACGGTGTTGAGTTGCCGCAGGCACCTACATCACTACGTCCCTCCAAATCGGAGATCAACGTCCATCGCGCGACACCTCGAATATAAGCACACTTCCCGTCATCCGTCACGTCCCGATCGCGGAGGATTCCCGAACCACTCCCCTCCCAGACCTCCCCTGATACGTATAAGGTCCATCCTGGCTAGAGAGCGCCGTCCATCCCGCGACTCTTCGAGTCTAAGCGCGCTTCCTGTCGTCCAGGCGGCATCCCCCAATGGGGCCTCCAAACGTATTGTTGCATTGGCCTCCGTGTAGCTGCTGTGCTGGAAGCGATTGCAGTAGCCATAACTGACCCCCATCTGTAAGCCCCCTCACTGGCGCCCAGAAGCCTCCCAAAACCAAGGTCGTGAGGGCTCCTTTCGTTTATTGCCCCCCGCGATCCCGCGTAGATTGCGTTGGATCCGCGCTCCCAGAGCCACGACCTCTCGCAAATCACTCTAAGTCCGCTCTCCCAAGGCTGCGGTCCTCAGTCAAGTACACTAGCCCCGTGCTCCCAGGGCCACGATCACCCGAACATCACGCTGGGTCCGCGCTCGCGTCTCAAGATTCCAAGGCGAATACAGCCGTGGCAACGAGGGCCAGTCCCAATGATGCCCAAGGAGGCAGAAGCGAGGGGAAGGTCTCGGTATCGGCAGGCTTTCCACCTCTGACGTCACATGCTCGAAGATGATGCAATTTCTTCAACGGGCAAGGTGGCACTTTGGCTGATCCGCAAGCATCTGGTGTGGGCATCCGAAATCTGCGCTCGATGTGGCAGGCGGACCCTGGCACTCGCTGCAATTGCGACCACGTGCCGTAGCAAAGAATCCGGTACGGAACTCTTTAAGTCCGTCACCGAATTCTTCAGATGCGCGAGGGACGGGTACCACGGCATTGAGGATCGGCCGCCCCCAGGGAAGCCAGCGGCCCGCGCCTTTGCGAAGGCCGCTGCAACTGAGGTTGGCCTCCCCCGAAGTCTACACTTGACATGGCCTGTGACCAACCGCACGCCGCAGTCTGAGTCCCTCGCGGACCTGAAAAATGTCAAGCCTCCTGGCCCGCTTCTTTCACGGAATTGGGCGACGTGGCAAGATGCCTCGGCCGCAGCCCAGGCCTTTGCGAGGGCTCCCTGCCGCTGCACCAAAGCAGGGGTGGCTTGAATGGAATTCACTGCGGGGCACGGATCCTCGACCACCACAGCGCAGAGGGTATGATGGGGGACAGGAGCCGAGCGGAGGCAGGGAAAGCAAAGCTGCTGGTAAAAGCCGACGGGGGGCCAGTGAGGGCGAAGGCGGCGGTCGAGATCCAGGCCCGCTGGGAGGGAAGGCTCGGAAGCCTGGAAGACAGTCTGCTACAAGCGTGCCACTTTCAGAGCTTAGCGATGGGCTGCAAGACCGAGCGCCGCAGCAAGGGCGAACAGCGGCGCCGTCCGGAACGCCGCGCGGGGGGCCGCGGGGCTCGTCGTGTCGTCGCCCATGGTGGTGTCCGTCAGGCGGCGCTCGTCGGCCATTGTGGTGGACTCGTCCACTGCCGCCCCAGCCGCGCTGCCCACGAACAGGAACGCGAGGAGCGCCAGGAGCATGGTGCCAAGGGCGCCACTGCGAGCTGCGGCGCTCGTCGTGTCGTCGCCCATGGTGGTGTCCGTCAGGCGGCGCTCGTCGGCCATCGTGGTGGACTCGTCCAGCGCCGCCCCAGCCGCGCTGCCCACGTAGAGGAAGGCGAGGAGCGCCAGGAGCACGGTGCCTGGGCTTCCAGTGCGAGGCGCGGCGCTCGTCGTGTCGTCGCCCATGGTGGTGTCCGTCAGGCGGCGCTCCTCAGCCCGGGTGGGAGGGGGGAGCAGAGAGCAGGGAGGAACGCTACCGGGACCCGCGCCCAGGAAACGAAATAATCCTAGACAATCCGTGCAGAACCTGCACCAGAAGTTCAACCCCTCTCTTCGAAAGACAACGTCGCAGCTCCCAGGAGGCCAGTTAAGCAAGCTAGCAATGATCTGACAGAAGGCCATCGGAGAGCAGCGGACTGCTATTGGGCTACGAGGGGTGTCGAGCGAGCCCCAGCCGAACTGCGAGAACGCTGCGAGCAGGCCGCAACCCAGGCCGATCAGTGCGCCATCAGGGATCGGCGCCTTTTTAGAGGCTTCTTCGAATACTTCTTATGGTGAAGGAGAACAGCTCAGAGGAAGGATGTTGGCGACAATTGCATGGTGAAACGCCAGAGATCTAGAAACGAGGCCGCGGCGAGGCCAGCTCGCAGAGAAGACACCGGCAGCACGCGGGCGCGGCCAGCGCAACACCCCGACGCCCCAGCGATCTTCCCCCCCTTGTTCCGCGACCCTCGAACAAACTTGCCTTCGCGTCAACAGGACCAGGCTAGATGACAAGGACAATAAGATCAAGCGGGACCGAATCTCTGCCCATCCCTACATTTACGGCCAATGGTCCTCCATGGTCGTGGTCTGCTCATCGGCGACACAGCCATGGCTGGAGAGCACGAGGGCGAACACGGCGAGCACCACGCGGTTCATCGCGGCAAGGGGCGGAGCAGCAGAGACCGAGGGTGCGCAGACGAAGCCTGGTATGCCAGAGGCCTGAGGACAAGAAGTAGCAGCAGAACGACGTCGCGGTCGCGGTCGCAATCGCGAGCGACATCGGCACAGTCCACACTCCCCATCCAAAGCCTCCCCAATTGCACACGAAGGACCACTCTGGCACACTGAGGCGTTGTAGTTGTAGAATACCGAGTGCTGCCTGGCTGGGCTTCTGTAAGTCTGCGAAGAGCCCCCTCTTATCTCATAAAGCTCTGCGTGCACCGTCCCCCTCCCGAGGACTCCCGGGCGCCCCGACGTCTTCCTGGAACTTTCCGAGCGAATCTCTGCGCGGCTTCCACGACGGCCAGGGAGGGCCACCAAGGCCGCCAAGATGGCCCAGCCTTGCCTCAAGAGGCACCCAACAGCTCCCAGGAAGTGCCGAATAGACCCCAAGAGGCTTCCGAGAGGCACGCAAACCAATCCAAGCATGCTGGTCGAAGATCCAAGAGGGCCCCTAGTCGGCCCAGGGAGCCCCAAGCTGACCCAAGAGAGCCTCTGGAGGTACCAATGACGGCCTGAGAAAGACCCGAGACGGCCACAAAGGCCGCAGGACAGGTCCACGACGGCCCCAAAAGAGCCCTCAGACGGCTAAGGGAGCCCCAAGACCCCAAGACGACTCAATAGGTCCCCCAGGACGGCCCAAGAGAGCCGCAAAGGACCCCCGAGACTGCCCAATGGGAGCACAAGCCAAACGATGGCCTCCCGAGGCCACGGTGAAATCCGTGGGTGGGGGACGCCAGCGGCCTTATCTCGGCCCTCGTGGCGAGAGGAGCAGCATCGCCGTGGGGCGGGGCAATCGAGAGGACCGCTGAGCAACGCTGATGGCACGGATGGATGCCATCGTCGGGTTATTGAGCGACTCGGCCTCCTCTGGCAATGCGCCACCGAATTCTGACAGGTGCTATACGGAGCACAAGACAGCCACAAAACGGCCCATATCATCCCTATGAGAGCTCATCAAGAGGAGGAGCCGAAGGACATCACATGCAATGGCGTTCGCCACACAGAATGCTTCGCTGGCACGGTGGAGAAGTCGCCGCAGGCACCTAGATCATGTTCCTCCACGTCGGAGATCAACGTCCACCGCGCAACACCTCAAGTATAAGCACACGGTTTCGAAGACGCAACCCCCACGCTGAGGTCTCGCGAGCATTCACAGAGCCAACCGCAAGGTCGGCCCGCGCGCGCCCACGGACGCAACATACAAAGCTGACCAACCACTGGTGGGAAGCCAGCACATCAGCACGCGACCCTCTGGCCTCGGGCTGGCGGCGAGCTGTGATTTTCAAACGGCGCAACACACCATGTGCCGGATAAGCATAGCGCAGCATAGCGGGAGCCGCCCACACCTGCAATAAGAAGTGCAAGGGCAGGGTTGCGGGCCAAGCCAAACTCAAAGTCACCAACGCAGCGGGCCGAGAAGGAAGGGGGGCGGACGAAGAGGCACAAGCAGGCGCCTGCAGCAGGCTTTACTGAAGAAGTGGGCACTGGTGCATGCAACCTGATGGACTCACCTGAAGTAAACCCAACATGCCCAGGCTACTACTTCACTTCCTTCAGCTTACGGCGTGGTGCGAGGAGCCTGGTCGTCGACGATCGCAAGTCCCGCAAGTTCCTGCCACTTCAACGCCCCACAAAATTGTGGGATGGATACCATCAGCACGCGGTGACGGTCAGTCTCTCCGATCCAGCGAACCCTGCCCTCCTTCACGCTGTTCTGGCACTCTTTCACGAAGCAGCGCCCCGCTTGGCACGGGTGCGTTAGGGGGGCCATCTCGCCAGCAATGGCCACCGCCTTCGAAGTCATCTGGACCTGATGTTGGACGTGCTCGGTCTTGTCCTCCTTCAGGGCGGCTCCGCGCCCTCGAAGCGCCAACTGTAGGTGGCACAGGTCCGCTCGCAGCAGGGCATCGGGGCGCCTGCCCTGCGGGTGCCCCCTGCGCGCCTCACCCGCCTCCGCGGCCGCCGCATTGGCGGTCTTGCCCTCGGAGTCGTAGGACTCCACCGCGCGGCCCATCCTTAGCATCGTCTTGGCCTTGCTCTCGAGCACCAGGGCCGCGCTGGCAGCGGATGCCGCCTGGGGGGCCGCAGGGACCTGCAGCGAGATGCCCCCGGCCACGTTCTCCACCACGGCGAGGGCCCCCGCCCCCCCGGGGAACGCATGCACGTCCCAGGCCATGGACGGTGATACAGGCGGCCGCATATGCTGTAGATGTCGTCGTCCCCGAGTGCCAGCGCGGACGCGGCTGCCAGCGTGGACGTCGAGGCTTCCCTGTGGGTGGCGCTGGTCCTGCCCGATTCGGATTGGCGATCCAGCTCCGTAGTTGTTCCTGATCATACTGCTGCACGCCGCATGCCGCGCTCCGTGCTGCAGGCGAGAGCGCGTCAAGCCACCGTAAGAAAGCAGCCCTGCGGTTGGCGCCCCTGCGCCACGCGCGGCCACAAATCTCACGCGCAAGTTGTTCAACAGTTTGACCCCGAGCTGCTGGCACACCAGGTCTTTCCACTCCACCTCGCCATCTGGCTGGGCTCCGCCCCTCGCGCTGCGGACCCAGCTCCGCGCCCAGCGACGCACCTCCCGTTCATGGGCTGGCGCGGGTACACTCTCACGGGGCGGCCGTTTCCTGGGCGCAGAGGATGGCGCCGCAGTTGTCGAGGTGGCCCTGCCGATGCCCCACCTGCTGGACCTGACCCTTGCAGGAGCTGGCGGACTACCGGTGCACTTGGACGTCTCATTCTCCCGAACGGACTGACCCTCTTCTTGAGGTGGTGGCCGTTGATCGCGCGGTAGGTAGCGCCGAACCCCAAGACACTGTGCACCATCAACTTCTTCATCGATGCAGTGGTAGGTCGGGCGGTCCAAGAAGCGCACCCGTCTGGCCCGAGGGTCGAACACTGGGCTACCCACGCGGTGGGTCCTCTCCTTTGCTGGCACCTTTGCCTGCAAGGACCGCCGTTGCACGCTCCTTGGCAGACTGCTTGGCTGCCCACCAGTTATCCCGGCCCACCGTGAAGCAATCCGCGTGGACTCTAGCCGCGGGAAAGGCGTGATGATGTTGCCGGGGCGATCCCAGATCCGAGCTTCAGGCGAGTAAATTGCGTCGCCGCCTGAGGTAACCACATAGCTGGAGTGTGCCGCAAGGTCCTGGCCTACATGAAGGTCGACCTCAGACCACACCCGCCCTCTGGCGGCCTCTGGCGAGCATAGCACGGTGGGCGCGGTGATAGCTCCATATGCTGTGCACCGGCTCGCTCCCGTCATAGTAGTCATCCTGCGACACGGAGCTCCACGGTGGTCGTGCCGCCACCGAACGCTCGGCCCTCCAGCGTAGTGAACTTCGGCTAGCGATGGCGCACAGAAGAGAAACGAAACATGACAAGTCTCGCCATCGACTGATGATCATGCTGCGCGGGGGTTTGCGACCCCGCAGACACGAAAAACGACGCCAGAATCGCTCGAGCCAGGGCCTTATAAGCACACTTCCCGTCATCCGCCACGTCCCGATCGCTGAGGATTCCCGAACCACTCCCCTCCCAGACCTCCCCTGATACGTATAAGGTCTACCCGGGCTAGAGGACGCCGCCCATCCCGCGACTCTTCGAATCTCAGCGCGTTTCCTGTCGTCCGGCGACCTCCCCCCGTGGGGCCTCCAAACGTATTGTAGCTGCTGTACTGGAAGAGATTGTACTAGCCATACATGACCCCCATCTGTAAGCCCCTCCACTGGCAACCAGAAGCCTCCCAAAACCACGGTCGTGAGGGCTCCTTGCGATTATTGCCCCCCGCGATCCCGCGTAAATTACGTTGGATCCGCGCTCCCAGAGCCACGACCTCTCGCAAATCACCCTGAGTCCGCTCTCCCAAGGCTGCGGTCCTCAGTCAAGTACACTAGCCCCGTGCTCCCAGGGCCACGATCACCCGAACATTACGCTGGGTCCACGCTCGCGTCTCAAGATTCCAAGGCGAATACAGCCGTGGCAACGAGGGCCGGTCCGTCCCAATGATGTCCAAGGAGGCAGAAGCGACGGGAAGGCCTCGGTATCGGCAGGCTTTCCACCTCCAACGTCACATGCTCGAAGATGATGCAATTTCTTCAACGGGCAAGGTGGCACTTTGGCTGATCCGCAAACATTTGGTGTGGGCATCCGAAATCTGCGCTCGATGTGACAGGCGGACCCTGGCACTCGCTGCAATTGCGACCACGTGCCGTAGCAAAGAATCCGGTACGGAACTCTTTAAGTCCGTCACCGAATTCTTCAGATGCGCGAGGGACGGGTACCACGACATCGAGGATCGGCCGCCCCCAGGGAAGCCAGCGGCCCGCGCCTTTGCGAAGGCCGCTGCAACTGAGGTTGGCCTCCCCCGAAGTCTACACTTGACATGGCCTGTGACCAACCGCACGCCGCAGTCTGAGTCCCTCGCGGACCTGAAAAATGTCAAGCCTCCTGGCCCGCTTCTTTCACGGAATTGGGCGACGTGGCAAGATGCCTCGGCCGCAGCCCAGGCCTTTGCGAGGGCTCCCTGCCGCTGCACCAAAGCAGGGGTGGCTTGAATGGAATTCACTGCGGGGCACGGATCCTCGACCACCACGGCGCAGAGAGAGCATGATGGGGGACAGTGGCCGAGCGGAGGCAGGGAAAGCAAAGCTGTTGGTAAATGCCGACGGGGGGCTAGTGAGGGCGAAGGCGGCGGTCGAGATCCAGGCCCGCTGGGAGGGAAGGCTTGGAAGCCTGGAAGACAGTCTGCTACAAGCGTGCCCCTTTCAGAGCTTAGCGATGGGCTGCGAGACCGAGCGCCGCAGCAAGGGCGAACAGCGGCGCCGTCCGGAACGCCGCGCGGGGGGCCGCGGGGCTCGTCGTGTCGTCGCCCATGGTGGTGTCCGTCAGGCGGCGCTCGTCGGCCATTGTGGTGGACTCGTCCACTGCCGCCCCAGCCGCGTTGCCCACGAACAGGAACGCGAGGAGCGCCAGGAGCATGGTGCCAAGGGCGCCACTGCGAGCTGCGGCGCTCGTCGTGTCGTCGCCCATGGTGGTGTCCGTCAGGCGGCGCTCGTCGGCCATCGTGGTGGACTCGTCCAGCGCCGCCCCGCCGCGCTGCCCACGTAGAGGAAGGCGAGGAGCGCCAGGAGCACGGTGCCTGGGCTTCCAGTGCGAGGCGCGGCGCTCGTCGTGTCGTCGCCCATGGTGGTGTCCGTCAGGCGGCGCTCCTCGGCCCGGGTGCGGGGGGGGGAGGGGGGAGCAGAGAGCAGGGAGGAACGCTACCGGGACCCGCGCCCAGGAAACGAAGTAATCCTAGACAATCCCTGCAGAACCTGCACCAGGAGTTCAACCCCTCTCTTCGAAAGACAACGTCGCAGCTCCCAGGAGGCCAGCCAAGCAAGCTAGCAATGAGCTGACGGAAGGCCATCGGAGAGCAGCGGACTGCTATTGGGCTACGAGGGCTGTCGAGCGAGCCTCAGCCGAACTGCGAGCACTCTGCGAGCATGCCGCAACCCAGGCCGATCGGTGCGCCATGGAGGAAGGTGTTTCCGAGAAGGGATCGACGCCTTCTTAGAGGCTTCTTCGAAAACTTCTTACGGTGAATGAGAGCAGCTCAGAGGAAGGGTGATGGCGACAACTGCATGGTGAAACGCCAGAGATCTAGAAGCGAGGCCGCGGCGGGGCCAGCTCGCAGAGAAGACACCGGCAGAACGCGGGCGCGGCAAGCGCAACACCCTGACGCCCCAGCGATCTTCCCCCCTTGTTCCGCAACCCTCGAACAAATTTGCACTCACGTCAACAGAACCAGGCTGGATGCTAAGGACGATAAGATCAAGCGGGACCGAATCTCTGTCCATCCCTACATCTACGGCATTCCGCAATGGTCCTCCATGGTCGTGGTCTGCTCATCGGCGACGCAGCCATGACTGGAGAGCAAGAGGGCGAACACGGCGAGCACCACGCGGTTCATCGCGGCAAGGGGCGGAGCAGCAGAGACCGAGGGTGCGCAGACGAAGCCTGGTATGCCAGAGGCCTGAGGACAAGCAGTAGCAGCAGAACGACGTCGCGGTCGCGGTCGCAGTCGCGAGCGACATCGGCACATTCCACATTCCCTATCCAAGACCTCCGCAGTTGCACACGGAGGACCACTCTGGCACATTGAGGCGTTGTAGAATACCGAGTGCTGCCTGGCTGGGCTTCTGTAAGTCTGTGAATAGCCTCCTCTTATCTCACAAAGCTCTGCGTGCACCGTCCCCCTCCCGAGGACTCCCGGGCGCCCCGACGCCTTCCTGGAACTCTCGAGCGAGTCTCTGCGCGGCTTTCACGACGGCCAGGGAGGGTCACCAAGGCCGCCAAGATGGCCCAGCCTTGCCTCAAGAGTCACCCAACAGCTCCGCGGAAGTGCCGAATAGACCCCAAGAGGCTTCCGAGAGGCACACAAACCAATCCAAGCATGTTGGTCGAAGATCCAAGAGGGCCCCTAGTCGGCCCAGGGAGCCCCAAGCTGACCCAAGAGAGCCTCTGGAGGTACCCATGACGGCCTGAGAAAGACCCTAGACGGCCACAAAGGCCCCAGGACAGGTCCACGACGGCCCCTAGAGAGCCCTCAGACTACCAAGGGAGCCCCAAGACCCCAAGACGACTCAATAGGTCCCCAAAGACGGCCCAAGAGAGCCGCAAGGGACCCCCGAGACTGCCCAACGGGAGCACAAGCCAACTGATGGCCTCCCAAGACCACGGTGAAATCCGTGGGTGGCGGATGCCAGCGGCCTTATCTCGGCCCTCGTGGCGAGAGGAGCAGCATCGCCGTGGGGCGGGGCAGTCGAGAGGACCGCTGAGCAATTCTGATGGCACGGTTGAATGCCATCGTCGGGCTATTGGGAGACTCGGCCTCCTCTGGCCATGCGCCACCGAGCTCCGACAGGTGCTATTTGGAGCACAAGAGAACCACAAGGCGGCCCAATTCGTCCCTATGAGAGCTCATCAAGAGGAGCCGAGGGGCATCACATGTAATGGCGTTCGCCACACAGAGTGCTTCGCTGGCACGGTGTGGAGTTGCCGCAGGCACCTACATCACTACGTCCCTCCAAATCGGAGATCAACGTCCATCGCGCGACACCTCGAGTATAAGCACACTTCCCGTCATCCGTCACGTCCCGATCGCGGAGGATTCCCGAACCACTCCCCTCCCAGACCTCCCCTGATACGTATAAGGTCCATCCTGGCTAGAGAGCGCCGTCCATCCCGCGACTCTTCGAGTCTAAGCGCGCTTCCTGTCGTCCGGCGGCATCCCCCAATGGGGCCTCCAAACGTATTGTTGCATTGGCCTCCGTGTAGCTGCTGTGCTGGAAGAGATTGCAGTAGCCATAAATGACCCCCATCTGTAAGCCCCCTCACTGGCGCCCAGAAGCCTCCCAAAACCACGGTCGTGAGGGCTCCTTTCGTTTATTGCCCCCCGCGATCCCGCGTAGATTGCGTTGGATCCGCGCTCCCAGAGCCACGACCTCTCGCAAATCACTCTAAGTCCGCTCTCCCAAGGCTGCGGTCCTCAGTCAAGTACACTAGCCCCGTGCTCCCAGGGCCACGATCACCCGAACATCACGCTGGGTCCGCGCTCGCGTCTCAAGATTCCAAGGCGAATACAGCCGTGGCAACGAGGGCCGGTCCGTCACAATGATGTCCAAGGAGGCAGAAGCGAGGGGAAGGCCTCGGTATCGGCAGGCTTTCCACCTCCAACGTCACATGCTCGAAGATGATGCAATTTCTTCAACGGGCAAGGTGGCACTTTGGCTGATCCGCAAACATTTGGTGTGGGCATCCGAAATCTGCGCTCGATGTGACAGGCGGACCCTGGCACTCGCTGCAACTGCGACCACGTGCCGTAGCAAAGAATCCGGTACGGAACTCTTTAAGTCCGTCACCGAATTCTTCAGATGCGCGAGAGACGGGTACCACGACATCGAGGATCGGCCGCCCCCAGGGAAGCCAGCGGCCCGCGCCTTTGCGAAGGCCGCTGCAACTGAGGTTGGCCTCCCCCGAAGTCTACACTTGACATGGCCCGTGACCAACCGCACGCCGCAGTCTGAGTCCCTCGCGGACCTGAAAAATGTCAAGCCTCCTGGTCCTCATCTTTCACGGAGACGGACGGCGTGGCAAGATGCCTCGGCCGCAGCCCAGGCCTTTGCGAGGACTCCCTGCCGCTGCACCAAAGAAGGGGTGGCTTGAATGGAATTCGCTGCGGGGCACGGATCCTCGACCACCACGGCGCAGAGAGGGCATGATGGGGGACAGTGGCCGAGCGGAGGCAGGGAAAGCAAAGCTGTAGGTAAAAGCCGACGGGGGGCTAGTGAGGGCGAAGGCGGCGGTCGAGATCCAGGCCCGCTGGGAGGGAAGGCTTGGAAGCCTGGAAGACAGTCTGCTACAAGCGTGCCCCTTTCAGAGCTTAGCGATGGGCTGCAAGACCGAGCGCCGCAGCAAGGGCGAACAGCGGCGCCGTCCGGAACGCCGCGCGGGGGGCCGCGGGGCTCGTCGTGTCGTCGCCCATGGTGGTGTCCGTCAGGCGGCGCTCGTCGGCCATGGTGGTGGACTCGTCCACTGCCGCCCCAGCCGCGTTGCCCACGAACAGGAAAGCGAGGAGCGCCAGGAGCATGGTGCCAAGGGCGCCACTGCGAGCTGCGGCGCTCGTCGTGTCGTCGCCCATGGTGGTGTCCGTCAGGCGGCGCTCGTCGGCCATCGTGGTGGACTCGTCCAGCGCCGCACCCGCCGCGCTGCCCACGTAGAGGAAGGCGAGGAGCGCCAGGAGCACGGTGCCTGGGCTTCCAGTGCGAGGCGCGGCGCTCGTCGTGTCGTCGCCCATGGTGGTGTCCGTCAGGCGGCGCTCCTCGGCCCGGGTGGGGGGGGGGGGGAGCAGAGAGCAGGGAGGAACGCTACCGGGACCCGCGCCCAGGAAACGAAGTAATCCTAGACAATCCCTGCAGAACCTGCACCAGGAGTTCAACCCTCTCTCTTCGAAAGACAACGTCGCAGCTCCCAGGAGGCCAGCTAAGCAAGCTAGCAATGAGCTGACAGAAGGCCATCGGAGAGCAGCGTGCGGGCTGCTATTGGGCTACGAGGGGTGCCGAGCGAGCCTCAGCCGAACTGCGAGCACGCTGCGAGCAGGCCACAACCCAGGCCGACCGGTGCGCCATGGAGGAAGGTTTTTTCCAGAAGGGATCGACGCCTTCTTAGAGGCTTCTTCAAAACTTATTGTGGTGAGGGAGAGCAGCTCAGAGGAAGGGTGATGGCGACAATTGCATGGTGAAGCGCCAGAGATCTAGAAGCGAGGCCGCGGTGGGGCCAGCTCGCAGAGAAGACACCGGCAGCACGCGGGCGCGGCCAGCGCACAAGCTGAACACCCCGACGCCCCAGCGATCTTCCCCCCCTGTTCCGCGACCCTCGAATACATGTGCCCTCACGTCAACAGGACCAGGCTAGATGCCACGATAAGATCCAGCGGGACCGAATCTCTGTCCATGCCTACACCTACGGCACTCCACCATGGTCCTCCATGGTCGTTGTCTGCTCATCGGCGACGCAGCCATGGATGGAGAGAAGGAGGGCGAACACGGCGAGCACCACGCGGCTCATCGCGGCAGGGGGCGGAGCGGCAGAGGCCGAGGGTGCGCAGACGAAGCCTGGTATGCCGGAGGCCTGAGGACAAGCAGCAGCAGCAGAATTCGACGTCGCGGTCGCGGCCGCAGTCGCGAGCGACATCGGCACAGTCCCCATCCAAGACCTCCGCAGCTGCACGCGAAGGACCACTCTGGCACACTGAGGCGCTACAGAATACCGAGTGCTGCCCGGCTGGGTTTCTGTTCGCAAGCCTGCGACAAGCCCCCCCTCTCCTCCTCTCACACAGCTCTGCGTGCACCCCTCCCCCGGCCGAGGACCCCTGGGCGCGCCGACGCCTTCCCATGGAACTCTCCGAGCGAGTCTCTGCGAGAGGCTTTCCGCGACGGTCGGGGAGGGTCACCCAGGCCGCCAAGATGGCCCAGCCGTGCCTCGAGAGGCACCCAACAGCTCCAGGGAAGCGCCGAATAGATCCCAGGAGGCTTCAAAGAGGCCCCCGGACCAGTCCAGGCACGCTGGTCGAAGATCCAAGAAGGCCCCTTAGTCGGCCCAGGGGGCCCCAAGCTGGCCCAAGAGAGCCTCCAGAGGCACACATGACGGCCTGAGAAGTACCCTGGACGGCCACAAAGGTCCCCAGGCGGGTCTACGACGGCCCCAAGAGAGCCCTCAGACGGCATACGGAGCCCCAAGACCACAAAACGGCTCAATAGGTCCCCCAAGACGGCCCAAGAAAGCCACAAGGGACCCCCGAGACTGCCCAACGGGAGCACAAGCCAACTGATGGCCTCCCAAGGCCACGGTGAAATCCGTGGGTGGGGAATGCCAACGGCCTTATCTCGGCCCTCGTGGCGAGCGGAGCAGCGTCGCCGTGGGGCGGGGCAGTCGAGGAGGGCCGCTGAGCAACTCTGATGGCACGGTTGAATGCCATCGTCGGGCTGCTGGGCGACTCGGCCTCCTCTGGCCATTTGCCACCGAACTCCGATTGGTGCTATCCGGAGCACAAGACAGCCACAAGACGGCCCAATTCGTCCCCATGGGAGCTCATCAGGAGAAGGAGCCGAGAGGCATCACATGTAATGACGTTCGCCACACAGAGTGCTTCGGTAGCACGGTGGTGAAGTCGCCGCAGGCACCTAGATAATGTCCCTCCAAGTCGGCGATCAACGTCCATCGCGCGACACCTCGAGTATAAGCACACTTCCCGTCATCCGCCACGTCCCGATCGCGTAGGATTCCCGAACCACTCCCCTCCCAGACCTCCCCTGATACGTAGAAGGTCCACCCGGGCTAGAGAACGCCGCCCATCCCGCGACTCTTCGAATCTCAGCGCGCTTCCTGTTGTCCGGCGGCCTCCCCCAATGGGACCTCCAAACGTGTTGTTGCAATGGCCTCCGCGTGGCTGTGCTGGAAGAGATTTGGAATGGACATGTAAGTCCCCCCACTGGCGCCCAGAAGCCTCCCAAAACCACGGTCGTGAGGGCTCATTGCCATTATTGCTCCCCGCGATGCCGCGTAAATCACGTTGGATCCGCGCTCCCAGAGACCTCTCGCAAATCACCCTGAGTCCGCTCTCCCAAGGCTGCGGTCCTCTGTCGAGTACACTAACCAGCCCCGTGCTCCCAGGGCCGCGATCACCCGAACATTACGCTGGGTCCGCGCTCGCGTCTCAAGATTCCAAGGCGAATACAGCCGTGGCAACGATGGCCAGTCCCAGTGATGTCCAAGGAGGCAGAAGCAAGGGGAAGACCTCGGTATCGACAGGCTTTCCACCTCTAACGTCACATGCTCGAAGATGATGCAGTTTCTTCAACGGGCAAGGTGGCACTGTGGCTGATCCGCAGGCATCTGGTGTGGGCATCCGAAATCTGCGCTTGATGTGGCAGGCGGACCCAGCACTCGCTGCCGCTGCGACCACGTGCCGTAGCAAAAAATCCGGTACGGAACTCTTGAAGTCTGGCACCGAATTCTTCAGATGCGCGAGGGACGGGTACCACGACATCGAGGATTGGCCGCCCCCAGAGAAGATGCCTCGGCCGCAGCCCAGGCCTTTGCGAGGGCTCCCTGCCGCTGCACCAAAGCAGGGGTGGCTTGAATGGAATTCACTGCGGGGCACGGATCCTCGACCACCACAGCGCAGAGAGGGCATGATGGGGGACAGGAGCCGAGCGGAGGCAGGGAAAGCAAAGCTGTAGGTAAAAGCCGACGGGGGGCTAGTGAGGGCGAAGGCGGCGGTCGAGATCCAGGCCCGCTGGGAGGGAAGGCTTGGAAGCCTGGAAGACAGTCTGCTACAAGCGTGCCCCTTTCAGAGCTTAGCGATGGGCTGCAAGACCGAGCGCCGCAGCAAGGGCGAACAGCGGCGCCGTCCGGAACGCCGCGCGGGGGGCCGCGGGGCTCGTCGTGTCGTCGCCCATGGTGGTGTCCGTCAGGCGACGCTCGTCGGCCATGGTGGTGGACTCGTCCACTGCCGCCCCAGCCGCGTTGCCCACGAACAGGAAAGCGAGGAGCGCCAGGAGCATGGTGCCAAGGGCGCCACTGCGAGCTGCGGCGCTCGTCGTGTCGTCGCCCATGGTGGTGTCCGTCAGGCGGCGCTCGTCGGCCATGGTGGTGGACTCGTCCAGCGCCGCACCCGCCGCGCTGCCCACGTAGAGGAAGGCGAGGAGCGCCAGGAGCACGGTGCCTGGGCTTCCAGTGCGAGGCGCGGCGCTCGTCGTGTCGTCGCCCATGGTGGTGTCCGTCAGGCGGCGCTCCTCGGCCCGGGTGGGAGGGGGGAGCAGAGAGCAGGGAGGAACGCTACCGGGACCCGCGCCCAGGAAACGAAGTAATCCTAGACAATCCCTGCAGAAACTGGACCAGGAGTTCAACCCCTCTCTTCGAAAGACAACGTCGCAGCTCCCAGGAGGCCAGCGAAGCAAGCTAGCGATGAGCTGACAGAAGGCCATCGGAGAGCAGCGTGCGGGCTGCTAGTGGGCTACGAGGACTGCGAGCACGCTACGGGCAGACCGCAACCCAGGCCGATCGGTATGGCACAAAGCGGGGGGGGGCCGGTTGTTGGAAGGGATCAACCCCTTCTCAAAGGAATATCAAAGGCCTTTTATGATTCAGGAGGGCATCTCAGAGGAAGGCTGCTGGCGACTCTTCGGCACACAAACACAAAAAAACAGCCACCCCCAAGCTAGCAATGAGCTGACAGAAGGCCGTCGGAGAGCAGTGCAAGTTGCTTTGGGCTACGAGGGGATGTCGAACGAGTCTCGGCCGAATTGCGAGCACGCTGCGAGCAGGCCGCAACCCAGGCCGATCGGTGCGACACGGAGGTGGGGGCTTCTTAGAAGGGACTGGCACCTTGGAGGCTCATAAGAAAGCTTCGTATGATTCTGGAGGGCATCTATGAAAAAGGGTGCTAGCGACCCTTGTACAATCCGCCGGCCTATTGGCATGTAGGAGAGATTTTCCTTTTGAGTCGTCGTCGTCGTCGTCGTCGTCGTCGTCGTCGTCGTCGTCGTCGTCGTCGTCGTCGTCGTCGTCGTCGTCGTCGTCGTCGTCGCCGTCACCGCTCCCCCCTGTCCCTGTCCGTGGGCCCTGCTCGTCAAACGTCCCAGCCAAAGAGACATCGAGCAACGTCGTCATAGAGTCGAAGGCAAGCCCCATTCCCTTAATCCCTTGCCCGCAGGGGAGGGGTGGTCAAGGGGTGGGTGGGGCGGGGTCCTCGGGGGGGTCCCCCGCTGGGGGTCTGGGGGGCGTCCCGGGGGGAGCAGAAACCTTCCCCTTCGATTCCCTTCCTCCCAGACGCCTCGAGCCCCCGGCCGGAGGGTTTTCACGATATGATGCCAGGGAGAGATCTGGAAGCTGGGCTGCGGAGGAAAACACTGACAGCATGTGGGCGTGGCCGGCGCGCCGGCTGAACACCCCGACGCCCCAGCGGTCTTCCCCCCCCTTGTTCCGCCCGCCATCGAATCGGACGGGGATGAACGGGAGGCAGCAAATCAAGGGAAGGGGCCGACCTCGAACCTGCCCCGATCGCCCACGAGCCTGCCACGTCGCACGGCGGCCGCTCCTCCGCTCGACGCGGACAGCTCGTGCGCGCAGCCGCCCCTCGGGCCAAACGGGGGCACCAGTAGACGGTGGCCTCCGGGAGTCCTCGATCGAGGCGCATCTGCTAGAGACGGCCGAAGAGGAGTGCTTACTGCCAGGCGTCCCAACCCTACCCACTGGATGGGCCCAAGGGGTCGGAGGCTTCGAGGCTCGAGCGCAGGAGCTTGTCTGGAGGCGTGGAGCGAGGCCGCAGGATCCGGCAAGATGCCGCCTGACCCTCGAAGCAGGTTCCCTTCACGTCGACAGGACCAGGCTAGATGTTGAGGGCGAAGGGATAAAGCGGGACCGAATCGCATTGCGCGGCAACCTTTGAGCAGCGGGGCGGGCGCACATGATCAGCGCAACCCGCGGGCGCGCAGCGTCGACGGTTGGGCAACCTCGCGCAACGCCGACCATGCCCAGCGCGCCCCGCGCGGCAGACGCAAGGTTCGCACGCGACTCCGCTGGAGCGGCCTGGCGCGCCCGATGGCGGACCCAAGCGGACGAGCGCACGCGCGGCATCAGCTGGCCGAGCCCACCAGGCGACGCGGCAACGGCGCTGCCGAAACGTCTGCAGGGGGAGGGGCTCGCGGCTTCGCGCTCATCTGCACATGGTTTGTTTGCGTTTGTTCTGCGGAGGCCGCGCCATGGAGGGCGGGGTTAGGGCCAGGGTGCACAGACATTGTCTTGGCGACTTCCTGACGCACCCCGAAATCGGAAAGCGCGGAACGGCGCGGGGGGGAGGGTGGGCGACATTGCAACATGCTGATGCTCTCTAGTCCTTACGAAAGCATAATGCCAACCTGAGGAGCGCGCGGCAGCGCCATCCTGCAGCGCGCTGCCCCCAAACAGGTACGAGAGATGGCGACGGGCCTGGCTCGGCCAAAATCATCGGGGAACCGCGCCCGCACCCATCGAAGGCAACGCGCTGCCCACACGCCGCAAAGAAGTGAGCCGCGAACTGCCCAGACGGACCGCAGGGCCCACGGCAGAACCTATCGAAGCCGCGCTCACCGACGCGCCCAGCGACGGCGACGAGACCGAAGCGGAAGATAGATCATCAGCGGCGGCAAGCAGCGCGACAGCGAACGCAGCCGAAGGCACTGGTCTGAGCCGGAGCGACGCCACGCCACAAAGCCAGAGGACAAGCGGGCCTGTCTCGCTCGACGCGCCACGTTGCACGCGTCGGCGCCGCGGCGGCGCAGGCGCGAAACGCGCCGCGCATTCGGCGCCCGCGCGCGCGCCTGCGGCACGAGCGCGGGCGAGCCATGGAAAGCCCTACGCGAACATAGAGACGCGCGCTCGGCGCGACGAGCCCGGCGTCGGCCAGCAGCCCGACTGGACGGCGCCGCCGCCCGCGTCGGCCGACGCTGCGCGCGCGTTCGGCAGCGCCGCCCCCCGCGCGACGGGCGACCGCCCGCCGCGAGCTCCGACGGGCGAGCGAGCGCAGCCGCGCCGCGGCCCGCGCCGCGCCCGTCGCCCGACCGCAGATCAGGGCCAAGAGGCTGCGCGGTGGCAGCTGAAGCACTGAGACGCCCGTCGCGCCCTCGCGCACCCCCCCCCCGATGCTGCGAGCGCCAGCGGGCGCGCGACTGGCCAGCGCTCCTCGATCCTCTCGATGCTGGGGCTCAGCATCCAGCTGCCTAACACACGCCAGAAGAGCTTCGCCCGTGGACCGAGCCGCGCACCACGGAAGAGCGCGCGAGCTTCCAACCACATGGCGCCCAGCGTCTTGGACTTCGAGCACAGCCCCGACGGCGCTCGGTGAACGCTCCACTTTCGTGGCGCCGCGAAATATCTCTGGCAGTCGTCGCTGATCCAGTTCATGTTCGACCTGCTGGACGACGGCCGCGCCCTGGGGGCCGTCGGAGGACTCGACGGCGACGGGGGCGCTCCTCGCCACTGGTCTCCACGAGGATCGGGCGAGCAGCCTCGAGCCCACAACGTCGTAAGTACCAGAATCAACATACGCAACGAGCTTGACATCACCTGCTTTGTTCACGACCGATGCTTCAACGCGGCGCCAGCAGTCCCGCCCCACATGATGGCACGCGCACGCCACGGCCGAACCCATGTGCCGCGAAATCAGTCCCATCGATGCCTCCTTCTGTAGCGTTGGCACTCAAGACACGTCGTGCTGACGATCTGACCCTGGCAAAGAGGATGAGACAACCTCGCCGGATGATCCAAGTTCGCGCTCAGCAACCCGCACCTCGAAGTGCTCAATAGGATCGGATTCTTGGCACGGAAGAAGCTGCGGCGTCCATGGCACCGCGGCCTGCAGTCGGATGGTCCATCCGGTGGTCACTATCTTCGGCACCGCTGGCTGCACAGTCTGACGCGAAATCTGGTTCGAGGGCAGGGGATGCCTAGGAGGCAGTCGCGTGAAGACGTCTGGCCACCCATCGGCCGTCGGCAACCTGACGCGCGGGGCGCGGGGGCGCGCCACCAGCGGCCGACCACCGCGGAACCCAACGCCGCCGTCGCGCGACCGCCGTGCCTCTCCGACGCACGCGAGAGCCCCCAGGAGGTCGCCGGGCTCGCCACGGTCGCCGCCGCCTGCCGCCGAGCTGGCCGAGAGCCTCCGGCAGTCCGTCGGGCTTGTCGCGCCGGTGGCCCTCGTCGCTGCCGTGGCCGAGCTGGCCGGAGGACTCCGGCAGCGCGCCGGGCTCTGGCACGCGGCGAGTCGCCACGCGCCAAGACGGCTGCGATCTGAAGGACAACGGCGGCGGAGGAGGAGGGAGGGCCAGGCCGAAGGGAGGACGGGGTGCAGCAGGAGCAGTTCAGGGAGCGACCGTGGCCCGCGGGGCCCGCGCATGAGCACGGCCATGGAACGAGGGGCCGGCCATCGAAGGACCGCCGGCCACTGGGAAGGCCATCGGCCGCGCGAGAGGCTACGGAACAGTGGGGCACTGCGTGGGAGCTGCGGACGGGGCACGGACCACGGGCAAGCTCACGCGTCTCGTCCGCGCGGAAGAACACTTGCGAGACCACGGGGCACAGGCAGCCTACAACTCTCTGGGGGCCACGGACAACTCCACCCTCGTCCGTTAGTGCCATACCAAGCTCGTTTAAACATTTCCGGGGTTCCTTGGATTCTATCTGTTTGACGAAACGACTGCGAAAACACATATACGGTTGTGGGTACCGCAATTGTGACTATCTTCTTCGGTGAAGCTCCCTATGGGGCCACGAAGCGCTACACTGGGTGGGGGGGAACGCATGCGGGCGGTAGCACTGGGGCCGTCGATGGAACTCCTTATGGGGCCAGAAACGCTGCATTGAGTGGGTGAAAATGCCAAATTGGGCTTCCAGGACGCACGCGGACGGTCCCACTGGGGGTTCGGCGGAGCTCCCTATGGGGCCACGAAACGCTGTACTGGGTAGGTGGAAAAGCCAAATTGGGACGCATGCGGGCGGTTCCACTGGTGGTTTCGATGGAGCTTCCTATGGGGCCACGAAACGCTGTACTGGGTGGTTGAAACTGCGAAATTAAGTGTGTGGGACGCATGTGGGCGGTCCCACTGGGGGCTTCGGTGGAGCTCCCTATTGGGGCCACGAAACGCTGTACTGGGTGAGGGGAAATACTAAATTGTGTGTGCGGGACGCATGCGGACGGCCCCACTGGCCACGAAACGCTGTACTGGGTGTGGCGGACGCATGTGGCCACACCCTTTTT